GTACAGTAGGAGTCAGGGAATTGGATTAGTGTTTCTCATTCTGGTAATAGAGAACTGAACATTTGGCTGAAGTGTTCCTTGTGCAGCCTCTAGGAGGTTGTTAAAGAGTGAGGATTGTTAAGAATTCTGATCTCTAATCTCTGAGATTAATTTTGACACTATTATTATTAATAACAATAAACGTGTTGAGCACTCAGGGTATATACATGATCACTTTTAATGTTTATACCACAGCAAGGTAGATACTATCATTATCCCAATTGAGAACATTGAGGTTTTGAGAACTAGGCAGTACCCATATCACATAGCTAGCATGTGGATCTGGAAAGAAGTGGTCTTACTTCTAGGCACAAAAACCAACCTTTTACTGTTAACTTGGAAGATTAGATGTTCTGAAATCAAGCTCTTTTACAATGTTCTTAGGTATCACTGAGAGGTGAAGCCAGCTGGACTTCCTGGGTCAAGTGGGGACTTGGAGAACTTTTCTGTCTTACAAGAGGATTGTAAAACGCCCCAATCAGCACTATGTGGATAGGATTGTAAAACGCAACAATCAGTGCTCTGTAGCTAGCAAGGGGATTGTAAAATGCACCAATTAGTGCTCTATAAAAACATACCAATCAGCACTCTGTAGCTAGCAAGAGGATTGTAAAATGCACCAATTGGCACCCTGTAAAACTCACCAATCAGTAAAGTGCACCAATCAGCAGGAGTCTAAAAATAGCCAATCACAGGGAAGATTAAAAAAGGGCATTCTGATAGGACACAATGGAACATGGGAGGGGACAAATAAGGGAATAAAAGCTGGCCACTCCTGCCAGCAGTGGCAACTCTCTCGGGTCCCCTTCCATGCTGTGGAAACATTGTTCTTTCGCTCTTCACAGTAAATCTTGCTGCTGATCATTCTTTGGGTCTGTGCCATATTCAAGAGCTGTAACACTCACCGTGAAGGTGTGCGGCTCCATTCTTGAAGTCAGCGAGACCAGGAAACCACCAGAAGGAACCCACTCCTGACACACCGCCACCCATTCTTGAGAAAGTTCTGCTTTGGGAAATAACTTCCTATGTGTAATCATTTATAGTTTACAAACCGTTTTCTAAAAGGTGTTTTAATCTCATTTTATTACATAAGGCACTTTTCAGCTTGTTGAGATGCGATGGCAGTTTTGCAAATGAGGGCCTGAAGATGACAGGTCCTCTTGTGGAACTTTTATAAAAGTGCTCGGTGAGCTGCCATGTTTGTGCTGGTTTGTTTTTGAACTGCATGGTGGGAGGAAGTGCTTCTGACAATTTATACTTTGCAAACATTTAATCTTTGATTTAACTCACCATCAAGACTGCTATTGCTCACTGATCCACCAAAAAATGAGGTAAAATAAACTTTCATACTTGTTTTCATTAATCTTTCTTAATGTATGCATAGCGCACATTTATTTCAGTGGTTAATGGTTAAGGCCATACACCTGGTAAGTAGCAGTGCCAATACATAAACCAAAGTCTTTTAATTCAAATCCAGGTTTGTTTCACTTGCCACATGCATTTCACTGAGTCCTGCCATTAGCCATCATGTAAGTGGGCTTAAACATTGTGGTCGTCCTGGAATTTTGCCTTCTTACTAATTTAACAGTTGAAAAAAATTTTTGTGAAAATAAAAACAAACATAACTGGAGATTACCTAGATTCTTTATTTTTCTGTTTTAAGCCATCATGACTTTGAAGGTAAATAGAACTCATTTAGAGCCCTCGCCATGGAGGCTTTTCAGTGGTGTTGGTGGGATTGCACTTAAGTCAAATCAGTGAGGCTTTCTTATCAGTGGGCTCTTCTAAGGATGAAGGGATGATGGGGCCTTAGAAACCAGAGGCTTCTTGCCAGTTTACATGGAGAGGCTAATGTAGAGGAAGAACCTGTTGAAGTCTTAGGTAGTATGACCTTGTAATCGCTTAACATTTTCTTAGGTTCTTGGAAACTGTGACTTCAAACAAAACTTGGCATAATGAAACTAATTTACCACAGGCTAATCGATACAAACAAGAGTTAAATTTCTAGTGCATATTTCTGGTCCCAAAAACATCACCAATCTTATAAAGTCCAAAACACTTCACATATTAACCATTGAAATAAATGTGAGCTATACATAAATTTAATAAAGATTAATGAAAACAAGTAAGAAAGTTTTACCCTGTATTTGATGAATTAGTGAGTGATAGCAGTCGTAGTTTTGGTGAGTTAAATCAAGGAATAAATGTTTGCGAAGGGAAATTGTCAGGACCACCTCCTCCCACCATGCAGTTCAAAAACCATCACAAACATGACAACTCACTGAGTGCTTTCGTCCCCTAATTGTTTATTGTTGTACATTTGTATGATTATTATAGATGTTACAAATTTTTATTTGACAATCACTTGTATTCATTCGTTCATTTTTCAACCTGCTTATTCCAGTTCAGAGTTGTGGGTGGGCAGAGCCTGTCCTGGCAGCTCAGGGTGCAAGGCGGGAACTGACCTGGCCAGGACACCATGCCATCATCCCATTGCAGGGCACACTCATACCCACACACTTGCACACCCCCCACACTCTCACACTGGGACCATGTAGACACACCAGTTCCTCTAACATGCAGAACTTCTGGATGTTGGAGGAAACTGGAGGACCTGGAGAAAACCCATACAGACTTAGGGAGAATGTGCAAATTCCACACAGACACTGGCCCCTGTCTAAATAAAGAATGATATAATCCAAAGAGAACATTTCCAATTTCAGCAGAATATATTATATTAACCTTTTTAATATTAATGTATGTATACATATATACATTTCACTAATGTTAACACGAAGTATTTATACAGTTTATATAGAATTTTATACATTACATATAATCTCATTTAATATCCACAGTAACCGTATGAGATAGTCATTATTTCTATTTTAAAGATGAGAAAACTGATATTCAAAGTGGTTACATGATTTCTCATGGTCAGTTGGAAATGCCAGAGCTAGACTTTGGTCACAGTTTTTCTAGCTGTCCAGTGTTCTTTTCAAGACCTCTTGCCTGGAGCAAGTAAAGATACAGTCGTCACTCATTAATAATCAGGTGTGCTGAGTTAGTCTGTAACCTGTGTTGACAAATACACATTTCACGTAGTTATTCATTTGATCATTCATTCAACAAACAACCCAAGGACTGCCTTGTGAAAGCTTGTGGTAGTATCAAGATGGATAGGACATGGTTTCTTCCCTCAAGTCAGTCAAATATTAGCTCTTAAATCATGAATGGGGAGGCTGTCGCGGATCACAAAGTAGGGTTGCTGAACCAAACTGGGGGCTCACAAAAAACTCCTTAGAAGAGGTTACGTGTAAGCTATGAAGGATGGGCAGAGTCATCATGGTAATGAGTCGGGATGAAAACTGTTCTAAGCAGAGCTATGAGTGTATGTGAAAACTGACCTGAGAGGGAATGTAGCCAGGTTGAGGAACCATGAACAGATCAGTACAACTAGAACATAGCACGTGAGGGAGAAGTATCTAGCAAGATTATGACCCAACCATGAAGTGCTCATTGTATTGAGGATTTGGGATTTTATACTATAGGAAGGACTGTTTAAAAAAAGTTGTGTGCAGTGTGCAAAATGATCATATTTCTGTTTTAAAATAGTCTCTCTTGAAACAGGCTAAAGGCAGGATTGGAAGAGAGCAAGAACAGCAGACAATGGGTTATGGCAGCAAGCTTGAAGAATAAGCCATCTGAGAAATGGTGGCACCTGCTCCGAAGACCAGGAAACAGAGAAAATTGAGGAGGGATGGGGACTTATTTAGAAGATTAGCTGGAATCTTAAAAGTATAAGGACATTTTTATCTATCGTGATAGGAGGCAAGGCAAACAACTGTGGGCTTATGCCTGGAAGTCCTCTGCTAGTCTGCTGGCATGTGAAGGGGAAGATAAAGGGAAGGGGCCTTTGTGTGGAACAGCCACCAAAAGGGCTGACGAGGGGTCTATGGAGGAGTCACTGGGCTGCGGGGAGAGGCAGCTGCCTGCATGCTGGAAGGTGCAGGCATTTGGTCTGTGGCAACTGGGAGTTTATTTAGAGCCTACAGATGTTATAAATACACTTAAAAGGCAATCACTTTTTTTTTTTTTTTGAGACGGAGTCTCACTCTGTCGCCCAGGCTGGAGTGCAGTGGCGTGATCTCGCCCCGGGAGGCGGTTCACGCCATTCTCCTGCCTCAGCTTCCCAAGTAGCTGGTTCTACAGGCGCCTGCCACCACGCCCAGCTAATTTTTTTGTGTATTTAGTAGAGACAGGGTTTCACCGTGTTAGCCAGGATGGTCTCGATCTCCTGACCTCGTGATCCACCCGCCTCAGCCTCCCAAAGTGCTGGGATTACAGGCGTGAGCCACAGCACCTGGCAAAAGGCATTCACTTTTTTTTTTCAAGTTCTGATGTATGTCTTGCTTTGGTGACTGATATGAACACAAGACCTCCTTTCGAGTTCTCTGAGATTGCTTTTTTTTCAAATCACTACAACAGGTGAAATTGAGAGCTTTGAATCTGCTAGAGTCCATTTCAAATCTTCATGCCTCCATTTTCTTATCTATTAGATTGAAAGAATTTTACAAGTCTGGTTGGTTAAGGTTAAAAGATAATTAAAATAAAGCACTTAGCATAATACATGGCAAATAAAAATTGCCTAATAAACAGCTGATGGTACTGCTACTACAGCTACTGCTACTACAGCTACTACTACTACTGCTGCTAGTAAGTTGGTGCAAAAGTAATTGTGGTTTTGTCATTAACAGTAATGGCAAAATGGCAATTACTTTTGCACCAACCTGCTGCTACTACTACTACTACTATTGCTAATACTACTAAGAACCATCACCACTATCACCATCATCAGAGTATGCAGTACATTTTTGAAATCCCTGGGATGCATTTTGAATTCCAAGTTCTTTGAGAAATTGGAGATGACACAATTTGGTCATTTTTTCTTCTAATTCCAGGTGACCATGCAACATACGAAAAGCAAGAAGATCCTAGATTTTGCAGCAAACGTGCGGCTCTCTCGGATTCAGGCAGATGGGGATGTTGTCTGTGAGCTTCCTGTAGTAAAAGGAGGACAAGCTATTTTTCCATGTGTGTTATTAATCTTCAGTAGCATCTATTCCATAGTCAAATTGTTTGGTAGTTGCTTAAATTTGCTTCTAAGCTATTTAGTTACAGAATATTTTTCCTGCTTCTAGGAGAGTTGTTTTACTCCTGAGAAGTGACGTTTTTAATGTCACAGCATGAGTTGCTGGTGGATCTTAGATTAAATGTAATCTCAAAATTATTCTTGTGGCCCAGCCACAGTCACAAAGGCTGAGGCTGTGAGAGACAAGAAATGCCGTGACTGCAACTCACCTTAGCTTTGCCTGGGGCCAGCTTACCTCCTTGCTTGATTTCTTTCCTCATCAAACCTTACGTCATTTTAAACTTTAAATATAATGTACAATAACAGTCACCCTTACCACTAAAATACTAAGCATAAAATGTCCTCTTATGTCATATATAGAAGAACAACCTTTTAAAAAATCTTTTATTTCTCTTTCTGAAAAAGCAATAAACCTTCTGGCCTTTTGTTCATGGTATAAAAATGCCCATGTATGATTAAAAATAATTGAAGCTCAAAAGCCTCTCAATAGACACAGAAAATCCAGATTAGAGGAATTCTTATATATGTTTTTCTTTTTTCACTATAGCCTGAAAACCTATGGATCTGGGTTCTGTTTATATGGATTTCAAGGTAACGTATTTCCTCTTGTTTTCTCTCCCTGTTGCTTTGCCAGTAGTGAGATATCAGGTTGACGTCTACACTGGGAAGCTGAAGCATGCAGAAACGGAGTCTGAGGTTTTCCTCTGTCTCTTTGGGGAGAGGGGAGACTCTGGCCTCAGACTGCTGTACAAATCTAACATGCAAGTAAAATTTCAAAGAGGACAGGTGAGTCTATACAAATAATTTCCCAGATTCTTAACAATCTCTCTGAAGATGGCCATCTATGATTTAAAATTTAAAAGGTGTTTGGCACTCTTCAAATTTTAGTTTTAAGACATCTTTAACACGTTTTCCTGACCTGACTTTCTAGTGTGCTTTGTTTTGGAAGTTGTTCTTACAAGAAAAATGGGACATACTAAACCAACAATAAATAATAGAACAAAGAAAATATATTAAGTTTAGTGATTGTGTGAGAGAAAGAAAAAAATGAACTGAAAAGACAAGGAAAACATTTTTGAATGTGCTCTCTCAGGCTTGAAAGATACAAGGCATTATTTTAAAAGATAAGGCTATATAAATGCCATTATACTATATTTCATATAATAACACAATGACCTTTAATCTATATAACATCTTGAATGGGGCCAACTGTGTTATTTTCACACCTAAGCCCCTCCTTATTTCCTTTTGTCCTTATGGACAAGCATAAGTCTTTTTATACATTAGATCTTTGAGAAATTGCAGTAGGATATTGTTAATGTTATTTTGTTGTATATGGAGAGAAGGTACTATGTGAGGGTCTGAAATTAAGTTTGGGGATTATGTAATCTAAAGGCATATTTTTAAGAAAGAAGACTCCTTAAACCAGTTAGAGTGCTGTTTCTCAGACTGTTGTAGTTTGTGAAATATTTTGAAACATTGGATATCTTAAAGCTCACCTATACATTTGTCACTGTTGATTACACAAAAGCTTTCATCAGAATGAATAGGAAAGCTAGTTCTGCTTTGAGTGAGTCAAAAGCAAAATTAGGCCTAACTTTTGCTATCAGGAATGAATTATTAATTTTAAGCAGAAACAAAATTTTAGATACCATGGTATTATTATTAATATTATGCTAAGTAATCAGTGAAGTGATCTCCTGCAGAACCCTGCTGGCTTTACATCAGCCCCAGACTCTTTCACCCTACCACTTGAGGATAAATGGCAGAGGCTCCATGTCCCCTGGCTGCCTGCTTGTTGGACGCCAGCATATATCATTTTGCAGCAGTGCTGTATCATGGGACGTTACCTGCTGAGATTTTGCAAGTCATCTTCATGATTGATCTTCCTCAGTTCATCATTGTGTTTAGCATTTTCCAGACAGTAGGGAGGGTGTGTTATGGACTGAAATTAAAATTGGGTAGGAGATATAGTTGCCATCAGTTTATGAAGAAGAGTACGGTGAGGGCTTAGTGGTATCCGTTTTTAAGTTTAGAATCAGAGATGTAAAAGTGTTTTTCTTCCCTGGTTCATTTTAGATTTTACATTTTCTGTTATTTTCCTCAGTGCTTGGGATGTACTGGAAATGCCAAATAATTTCAAGAGTTTTGTAGTCAAGAAACTGTGGTAAGAGTCTGAGAGTTTTATTATCAGACTTCGTGCACACCAGCCACATCTCACGTCATAAACCACTCATTGGGCTAGTTGTCATTTTCTCTACAAGGTGTCCTAGCAGGATAATAAAACGTAGCAATATATGTAACAGACCCAATTTAATTCCGTCTTCAAACCTAAAGTTACTTTAAGATACAAGAAGAGACCAGAAAGCTGACTCAGCCTATCTTTCCAGACCTCAAGGTACTGTAGTTTGGGTTTGTCCCAAAGCTGACTAAGAGACAAAGACTTCAGTGAAGGTAATTTATCTGGGAGATAATCCCAGTAAGCACTTGAGAAGTGAAGGAGTGGGAACAGTGAGACAGGAAAGGAGAAAAGCAATATAGGGACATTTGTGAGCTGGTTACTATTATGGCTCCCTCTTCTTGCTGAGAGCTTCAGAGAAACTCTGTGAAACATCCCTCAGATTTGTCCCACCAGGGGAAGCCCTCAGACACAGAAGCAGGAGACAGGGGATTGAGATAGAAAGTTATGAGCACACCTAAACTGTTTATCAAAGCAGCAGATGCACCTAGAAATGGATCTAGAGGACATGGGATGGGACATCACTTGCATTTGCTACAATAGGTGATGCGCCTCGTGAACGTCCCTTGTAAAGCCATGCTGAGAATGCAGGATAGTGACAATGAGATGATCCATGCACACATGAGAAGATGCACAAATACTCATCACCTGGTTTACAGAACCGTCATTACTGAACTAGTAATGGTTTTGGTCTGGACTCTACAGGAGGTTTCCATCAACAACATGGAGCCAATAGTTGAGACCCAGGTAGTGTGTCTTCAAATATCAAATCGAAAATTCAACCTGGTAACAATGCAGGGAGCTGTTAAGACAGCTTCCCACATAGGCAATACAAGTGATACTAGAGTCACATTTTTTACCATAGAGTGCCAGTAGCTAACAGTCAACTATCATTTCTGGTAATTTTTCAGACTTACTTAAATTCATGATACTTTCCTCAGATAACTTTAGGACAGTTATTCTCAACAACCATCTACGAGGAAGTAACGTGTGAAGGAGTTCTTTTTATTTTAATCAGTATAGCACTGACTTCAGGTCCTGAATCTCTCTGGAAATGTCAGTGTATTTTTGAGATAACAAACTAATTCTATTTAGGAGTCCAGGCTGCTCTTTTACAACAAACCCAAGAATGTGCTCTATTTTCATCTACAGAGGAAGGTGCAGGGGAAGGATGTATTGAAGGTGGGAGGGAGGGAGGGAGGGGAGGAAGGAAGGAAGGAAAGAAAATTTGTCCCACATGTCTCACAGCATATCAGTGCTCATAGAAAGGAAATGTGCTGTACATTAGCTGCATGGTTGTCAACCTGATGCCCTAATGAACTGCTTCTCGAGTAGGGGTCTAACATGAGACAAGTCTTTGTGTTGGGATTTCTTTGTTTATTACTCTGGATGCTACTACAAATGGAGAAAATAAAACTGTGAAAGCAAAAAAAAAAACAGCCAGAAATATATTCTTGATAGATAAAAAGTAATTTGCTTATTTTTCTTACCATATTGCCCCTTTTGATGCTAACTATAGTAACATTATCTCTTTTAAAGTATTGTGCTGCTTCTGGCAGTCATTGGGCTATTACTATTGCCTGCATTTGCCATGCCTCGGACTCTAGTTATTTCTGTGAGTTTTTTTTCTCTGTCTCCCACACCAGATTGATAAATTTCAAGTAGCAGCAGTGTCGCTTGGAAAACTGCAGAAGGTGCTGTTGCGCTGTGAGGCCAGTGACAAATCACAGTACTGGTACTGTGAACAAGTCGTAGTCAGAGAGCCTGGCACCACATCCAAGTCCATCTTCACCTGTCAAAGGTATGATGCTGTGTGTGTGTGTGTGTGTGTGTGTGTGTGTGTGTGTGTGTGGTGTGTATCTTTTAGGTCACAGATTTATTTCCTTAACTCAGATTCCACATCATGCATAACTCATTGATTGCTTAAATAATCTTTTGCTAAGCATTGTAAGGAAGGCTTATCTTATAATTTCTTATTACCACAATGTTCTGTGTGTCACAGAAGGACTAAAAGTTTAATACTGGAAATGATTACATAAATAGTGAGAAAATTTGCTTAACTATTGGTTTCTTTACATTACTAAAATTGTAGTGTTACAACAGTTTCATAAAGAAATTAAGTCTGGAGAAGTTTACAGAGAAGAACTTTCAGAACAGAACGTAAGGAAGACAAACATTAAATTATGGATAAGTTGGACTTTCCTTGAGCCCCATGAGGGTCAGTCCTGAAAGCAGCTCTCTAAATTCCTGACCTGGCCCTGTACTGCCTAGGCTTGAGACGCAGGTCCCACATACACTTCCTTCTTCAAATCTCCTCATAGAAATCCCACACCTTCTTGCTTAAGAAAGTGTCACCTGTTTTTCCAAGAAGGCTGGTTCTCTGGATCTTTACTGAGCCCTGCTATTTCTCAAGAAAATGCTTAGCTTCGGCTAGATGGGCAATCATGTTTATTGTTGCTTGGTCTCTCAGTCACAGGGAATAGGCTGGGCCCCAGACTTACGAATTGATTTAAAACCCAATCTGTTGTGGGCATGGGAATGAGAAACTTGGGGTTCCATTTTGAAAATTTGAATCTTCAATAGCGAGGGCTGCCCTGTAGCCTCTTTTTCCAAATAGATAATCAACAGGAAATGAGATAACAAAGTGCAGGCAGAATAGGGAAGAGGGGAAATTCAAGGGTCTGAATTTAGCCAAGAAAATTGCAACTTTAAGTACTAAGCAAAAAGTAAAAATAATGAGGCAATTCAACTAAAACACCTAAAGGCATGCCACTAAAAACTGCAAACACCCAAGATGATTGGAGCTGACTGCGGATGAACAGAAGCGGTGAGAGCCACAGTAGCCCTTGTCTTTTTTGCCTTTTAGTCATTAAATTCAGTCAATTCCTTGTTCAGAGTGTCTGCTTAATTCATCCTTTCTTTTCTCTTACTACTACCTCTGCCCTGATTGATGCCCTTGCTCATCAAGACTAGCTCATCCCCGTCGTCTCCCAATTGTCTTCTGTGTCTTTCTTTCCCAGCCTACCTGCCCACAACTTCCAAGCTAGCTCTTCTTCTATGGTACTAACTAGCATCGTTCTGACTTTATCTTTTCTTCTCTCATTTCTCCTTTCTTTTATTTTGAATTTTATTCTTTAATATTTTATTGTATCGCTTTGCCTGAAAATGTTTCAAGAAAAATTGTGGGGGAAAATAATGTTCTAAAAGCTATATTTTAATCACATCACTCCCCTGTTAAAAACCTTCAGTAATCCTCATTGCCTACCACAAAAGCAAAGCAAAACATAACTTCCATTCGAGGCTTTGTAACATCTGACTCTATATTTCCCCCTCCAATTTGCTTTTATAGCAGTCCTCTTGCAAGATCTTAGTGAAATTAGACCCCTATAATTACCTAAACAAGTTCTGTTCCACTCTGCTTCTGTCCTCTGGAGTGCTAGTCTTCACTCAGGAGGACCTTTCCTTGGTCTATTCTCCCCGTTATAATCCTATCCATCCTCAAGTTCCAATTCCAATTTGGCCTGTAGTATGACTTAATTGGCCAAACTACAAATATTTTTTCTCTTTTCTCAATGTGTACTCAGAACTTAGCACAGCACAGGCACCCCCATCTGATGAGTAACACGTAGCACTGAAGAGGACTTGGGTATCATTTCCCAGCCTGCTCCCACCCACAGCACACAGGCATCTCTGGGGCACTGGGGGCAGCTCTGTTTTATTCCCTGCATCAGAAGAGGTAGAGTGTGCTTCATCCAGGATTTTCATCTTATGTTCTGATATACTTTGTCACATTAATTTAGCTGATTTCTTTTAAATATGAAATCTCCTGGTGGATAATTTAGATGCATTCACTGCCACTGTCCATGTCTACTCATACATTTCACTTCGTCACCCATCATTTATTGCGCTACCTTACTTTTTTTTTTTTTTTTTGGATTAGAGTCTTGCTATGTCACACAGGCTGGAGTGCAGTGACTCGATCTCGGCTCACTGCAACCTTCACCTCCTGGGTTGAAGCAATTCTCCTGCCTCATGCTCCCAAGTAGCTGGGATTACAGGTGTGTACCACCATGCCTGGCTAACTTTTGTGTTTTTGGTCGAGACAGGGTTTCACCATGTTGGCCAGGCTGGTCTCCAACTCCTGACCTCAGGCAATCTGCCTGCCTTAACCTCCCAAAGTGCTGGATTACAGGCACGAGTCACTGCACCCGGCCCCTGCACTACCTTACTTCTTGTTTGTGCTGTGCTACCATGGCCTCCTTTGGAAGGAAGGAACATAAGTGATACCTTAATTATTATAATTTCAACGGGTTGTATCTGAAAGAATTTTAGTTACAAAATATATTGAACAATCACAAATAATGTAACAGATATAAAATATTAAATGTTAATATTTAATACCCTGCTCATAGTAGGTCCTAAATAAATGGTGGCTAGTGCTCATTCATATAATACCCTGATAAAGAAAGTAAGTTGCCAAAATAATTCCTTTCTTCTATGTAGCTATAAAGAGATGGGACAGGTCCTATTTCCTTACTTCTTAAAGAAGCAGAAGAGTGTGGCACCAGGAATAGAACTTGTGGCACAGCAGGTTTCTTTCTACTGCAGAAAAAGACCATTCTGAAGCCACTTATAGTTACTTCTGTGCTCCCAGAGCCTTTTCTGTGCATATGAGGTCAAGGTCTGTGTCCACGGAGCCTGGAAGGCTGTTCTGAGGGGAAAGGAGACCCGCGGGTGCACACAGGAGCTGGACTGGACAGTCCTGGCGGGGGAGATGGGTAGGGTATGATGCTGGACATGTTCATTGTGGCTAGTTCGTTCTGGGGTGCAGGCATCCAAAATGCGCAGGTGCACACCACAGAAGGGAAAAGGAAAGAAAATCTCGGTCATGCTCCTTGGAGCTTCCTCAGAGAGCAAGAATTTACAGCACAGCTGAATTAGGGCAGAGAGAAAGACCACCGAGTGCTTGTTCCTTTTGTGGGCTCAGGGGAAATGCTTAGGTGAGACACAAAGCAGAGCCGCGGGAGGAGACTGCTTCTGTGCATCACAGAGGCTGCCTGCGAGTGTGTGCATCCTCCTTTCCTTTTTCCCTCTTCAATTGAACACCCACATCCTTATGGCTTTATTTTATTTCTATGCCTGAAGGTATTATTTTTCTGTCTTTTGTACATTTAATATAGATAGGGGTATACATCACTGAATTTCTACCATTTACACTGCAGGCTTGGCTCTTTGAGGTTTGCAGCAAACAAAATTTGTATTTGAATAAGGCAGACATTCAACTGTCTTTATGAATTAATGCAAATATTTTTATTTAGTATTTCTATTAGCTTCCTGTGGCTGCCGTAACAAATTGCCACAGACTTGATTGCATTGAACAACCGAAATATATCCTTTTGCAGTTCCTGGAGGCCAGTGATCCACGACCCAGGTGTCATCGGGGCCTCACTGTCTCGGAAGGCCTGGGAAACAGTCCTTCCTCACCCTCCCCACTTCCGCTGGGTGCTGATCATCCTTGGGTTTCCTTGGCTTGCAGCTGCATCACCCCAGCCTCTGCTCCATTGTCACATGGCTGTCTTCCTTTTGTGTGTCTGTGTCTCTGTGTTTCTTATCTTTTTGTAAAGACACTGTCGTCATTGGTCTAGGCCCATGCTACTCCAGTATGGCCTCATCTTTACTAACTACGTCTGCAAAAATCCTGTTTCCAAACAAGGTCATGTTCTGAGGTTCTAGGTGGCCAGGAATTTTGGAGGAACTCTATTTAACCCAGTATACTTTTTGAGTGGATTCTGTAATGTACTGTTTAGCATTAAATTAGGGAGTCTCCAGATTTTTCTGTGTTAACAAACTTGAACTATTGTGTATGCATGTGTATATGAGAGTCTTGACTTTAATGTGAAATTATTAAAAATAAGTTAGCATCTATCTTTTAATAGAAACAATACCATTCACAATATTTATTTGATAACCTGCTTGACCTGAGAGGGCCTGGAAACAAGGAGCGTCAAAAGCCTCTCAATGTTGCCTTCCGTAACTCCTGACTGGTTTGGGAAATGACATTGACACGAGCTTGCAGAAGCAAGTTATTTGAAATAAAGGCCATATCTAGGGAAATTCTAAATAGAAGGAGAACTTATAAATGCAGAAATCAATCTGTTAAATGCAAATAACTACAAAGAATGACCAACATGGAGAAACCCTGTCTCTACTAAAAATACAAAATTAGCCAGGCATGGTGGTGCGTGCCTGTAATCCCAGCTACTCAGGAGGCTGAGGCAGGAGAATTGCTTGAACCCAGGAGGTGGAGGTAGTGGTGAGCTCATAGTGCACCATTACACTCCAGCCTGGGCAACAAGAGCAAAAACTCTGTCTCAAAAACAAATAAACAAATATAATGATCTAACTTGACTTGTCAAGGCAAGGCAGCATGACCAGCTTTGTCCTCTCAAAACCAAATTGTGGTCAGATAGGTGGAGTGACCCTGAGGCACATTCACCTGAGGAATAAGGATGTGATGCTGCACAGCATTCCTTAGAGTTGACATTGCAGCTAACACCTTTAAAGTGTTCCCGTCTCATTTCTATTCAGGATTCTTGGCTTTTTAAATTTTATTTATTTACTTACTTATTTATTTATTTATTTTGAGAAAGGTTGAGATTATCTCCTTTGTGCAAAGTATAAGAAAAGAAGACTTTAAAAGCTTTCCACTATGGATAGAATAGACTATCAGCAAATCCTGAATATCTCTGGTAGGTGGAATGCCACTTCCACTCCAGACCCATACCCTTTTCACAGTCCTCA